GATTATTGTTGTTATTACTTGTTCTTGGGGTTTTCGTGGCGAAATCTCCACAGGGGTTTTGCCATCATGGCTTTTCTGGGGATGAGAGAGTGTGCATGCATATATTTTTTTTTAAAAAAATAATTTTAAAAATTTATTTATTTTTGCTTCGGCCCCACAATTGTCTGAGGGATAGCAACCCGGCCCCCTGCTCAAAAAGGTTGCCTATCCCTGGTCTAGGTTCTGACTACCACTGGGCAATTAAATTTACTGGATGACTTGTCACTATTACCCCTCTTTCAGGCTAGCCTACCTTATAGGGTTGCTATGAAGATAAACTGAAAAGGAGGTACATACAATGCCTGGAGGCTATTTGAGTAAGGGCAGGATATAAATGTAACCATGCTATTGCTGTTAGAATTAGTAATATTTGCATGTCTATAGTTACTACTTGCTAGTTTGCAAATTTCCTGTTTGTTGGGCTTTTTAAACCACACCCTCAGTTTTCCTTCATCATGCTAGCCTACAACAATTCTTTATTTTTCCTCTCTTTTCTCCATAACTTCATCTATTTCATTATGAAAAAAGTTTTAATAGGTAAAATTACTTTTATCTGTTTTACAAAGAAAACAAAGCTATTTCTTTTCTCTTCTAGAACCTGAGTGGGATTGGATGTGTGATTAATAATAATAATAATAATTTTTATTTTTATGCTGCTTCTCTACAGCACAATCGAGATGCCATACAGCAGATTAAAACAACATTACAAGTTAAAACAGTCAAATAAAAGATTGGTTATTGTTCAGCTTCTGTCATGCCAAGTGATTATTCTGCTTGAGAGAACTAGGGCTCTCTCTCACATTTTCCAAGTAATACTATGACTGCTGCAACTAAATATGTATGTGCATATGCATGCACTTGCTCTTTCATATACTCATTACTGTGCATACATGTGAAACCTGGCTAACAAAGTGTTGATAAGACTGAACAATGAATAAAATTGCTTGCAGTCAACACTTGCCAAAATTTACATCAGCTGAATTCTCTGACTTATGACTTTGAAATGGAAAGGCAAAGCAATTTTTCCCCAAAGCAATTTGGTGTGTCTCACACACCAGGATTAAACTGTTCAGGTCAGATACACACACAATGAATATTTCAATCATAACTGAATCATAGCTGCTCTGTGTTCTCTTCATTAGTCAGGTTAGCAATGTGGATGAGGAATGGCCTTTGGCTAAGAGTTAATTAGAATAGAATTGAGGTCAATGAGGACCAGTAGAAATAACATTCCATGTGAGGAAATCATTCCATGTGAAGAAATCATGCGAATAGGGTGAGAAAGGGAAAAATCTATAATAATCTATAAAGGGCAATAAATAAACAGGAAAATAAATTTGGTCTCCATAGTCTTGTCCCCCATCTGTCTTTACTTTGTATTAACACCTGGAGATTGCTTGGAAAGTTCAAAGAATCAGACAAAGACAGAGGTTTGTAGGTATTCTGCTCCTCTGTTGTTCCTGAACTCTTGCCAGACTTTGGAATGAGGCCAATCAAAGGAAATTGGAGAAGAGGAATATTGTTTGGTTACGATATTATATAGGCATATCAGAGCTGTGCACTTGTGACCTCTGCAAAACAATCTGCAGTTCTTTTTCTCCCGATGCCACTTCCATATTAAATTGATTGAGTTGCATGTTCTTGTCAACAATCTTTCCCTCTAATACTATTCTTTCAAACAGATTACAAGGAAGCTATTTGAGGGAGGGGAGGGAGGAGGGAGGACCATTGAGATGAAAATAAAAATTTTCTTAGGATTAATGTGGCTGCTTTTTAAATTAGAAAATGGTCCCAATGGGTGAGGGAGAAATATGTTTGTATAACTGAGGCAGAATGTTCAGAATGCTGAAGCAGAATTATGGTAGACACACACACACACACACACACAGGTTTCTGAAAAAGACTTAGTAGAATTATTTATTGCAAGGACGAAGTGATGTTCAGGACCTGCCTTTGAAGCTGGTCTTTACACCACTAGTTTCTCAGGGTGGACACCAAACACAATTCTGCCATTATGCCATTTATGAGAAGGTCAACAGTCAGATGTTATGATGGATGAAAAACAGTTTAAGGGTTTCTAAATAGCAAAGTATAGTAATGTTGAGAAAAGGACCATTTTATGATACCATTCTTAATCTACCCTAAATCCTATGAACTATGCCATAGGATTAAAAGGGATGTCTGCCATTTGGTCAACCAAACTGCCTCCCTACT